TATAATAGTATGGAACAATCAAAAATTATAGATACGTTGGAGACGTATCACCCCTCCTCCCACTCTTCACTCATGGAGAGAGCCATCAGAACATGCCTACACTTCCAACATTCATTTTCTGAGAGAGAACCACCTACTCATGTGTTGAGACCAAGATATTCCATTCCAACCATATGAATCTTGATCTCTAGCCTTCCCCAAGTTGCTTTTCACTCAAATCATCTTTCCACCGAATCCTAATCAGTGAGAGAGAGTTGAGTGTTGGGGAGACTATCATTTGAAGCACAAGAGCAAGGAGTTCATCATCAACATACCATTTATTACCTTTTGGAGAGTGGTGTCTCCTAGATTGGTTAGGTGTCACTTGGGAGCCTCCGTCAAGATTGTGGAGTTGAACCAAGGAGTTTGTACGGGCAAGGAGATCGCCTACTTCGTGAAGATCTACCCTAGTGAGGCAAGTCCTTCGTGGGCGATGACCATGGTGGGATAGACAAGGTTGCTTCTTCGTGGACCCTTCGTGGGCGGAGCCCTCCATGGACTTGCGCAACCGTTACCCTTCGTGGGTTGAAGTCTTCATCAACGTGGATGTACGATAGCACCACCTATCGGAACCACGCCAAAAATCTCCGTGTCCACATTGCGTTTGCTCCCTCCAAACTCCTCCCTTTACCTTCGTGTGCAATGTTTTACATTCCGCTGCTATACTCTTAGACTAGCATGTGTAGGTTGATTGCTTGACTTGTGCTAAGTTGTTAAAATCTGCCAAGACTTAAAATTGGGAAAAGGCTAGATTTTTATTTGGTCAAGTAGTCTAATCACCCCCCTCTAGACATACTTTCAATCCTATAGACACGCACATTATCTCAGCAAGAGATTGGATTGAAAAAATCTAATGAGATGGTTGCCCGTCTACTGCGAGAAGAGGAGATCAAATGCTACCAGAGATCCAAAGCTGATTTCATTTTGATGGGTGATAGTAATACAAGATACTTCCAATTGGTCGCCAATGGGCGGCATAGGAAGAAATGTATTTATAGTCTCCAACAAGATGAGGGGAGGATCGAAGGTCAGGAGGAGCTCAAAAAGTATATCACCAAATACTACAAAACTCTTTTCGGAGCGCCAACTGAAGGGAATTTCACCCTTGATGAGACCCGAACAGATAATATTCCACATGTCACGGCAGAAGAAAACGGTATCCTAACGGCACCATTCTCAGAAGAGGAGGTGCGAGTTGCAGTGCTCCAAATGGAACATAACAAAGCTCCAGGCCCTGATGGTTTCCCCGTAGAATTCTATCAGAATTTCTGGGATATCATCAAGTCTGACCTTTTGGAGTTGTTCAATTGTTTTCATGCTGACCGACTTGACCTATTCAGACTTAATTTTGGCGAGATTGTCTTGTTGCCGAAGAATAAGGAGGCCGAACGGATTCAACAGTTCAGGCCCATATGCCTCCTTAATGTCAGCTTCAAGATTTTCACCAAAGTGGCGACGAATAGATTAAACTCGGTAGCTGACCATGTTATCCGGCCATCTCAAACAGCTTTCATGCAAGGGAGGAACATACTCGATGGCGTAGTAATCATGCATGAGACCGTCCAGGAGATGCACCGGAAAAATATGAGTGGAGTGGTATTCAAAATAGACTTTGAAAAAGCCTATGACAAGGTCAAATGGTCTTTCCTCCAACAGGCCCTAAGGGTGAAAGGCTTCCCCGATAAATGACGCGAGTGGATCCAAAATTTTGTAACTGGAGGTAGTGTGACCATCAAAGTCAATGATGATGTCGGCCATTACTTTCAGACAAAAAAAGGACTACGACAGGGTGACGCCATATCCCCAATGTTATTTAACATTGTGGCTGACATGTTGGCTATTCTGATTGAGCGCGTCAAGCAGGACGGCCAGATTACAAGAGTAGTGCCACATCTAGTGGATGGTGGTCTCTCTATTCTGCAATATGCCGGTGACACAATTCTCTTTATGGAACATGACCTAGACAAGGCTAGAAACCTGAAACTTCGTTTGTCAGCGTTTGAGCAAATGTCGGGTCTTAAGATTAACTTCCATAAAGGTGAATTGTTCTGCTTTGGAGAAGCCGTTGAGGGCGGTCGATTATGCTGACCTTTTTGGTTGTGCACATGGACAATTCCCAATTAAATATTTGGGGATACCAATTCATTATCGGCGTCTCACCATTGCGGAGTGGAAGCATGTAGAGGAGCAGCTAGAGAAACTCTTGCGCAGCTGGAAAGGCAAGTTGCTCTCAGTTGGAGGACAATTGGTTTTAATAAACTCTGTCCTAACAAATATGATTCTCTATATGCTTTTGATCTTCCAGCTCCCAAAAGGGGTCTTGCAAAGGCTAGACTATTTTAGGTCCAGGTTCTTTTGGTAAGGAGATGGCGAAAAGGAAAAATATAGGTTGGCCAAATATAGCATGGTTTGTAGGCCGAAAGACCAGGGTGGCCTCGATATTCATGTCCTGCAGGTCAAGAATGAGGCCCTACTTAGTAAATGGTTGCTCAAACTTCTTACTGAGGATAGTGTTTGGCAAACCATGTTGCGCAATAAGTATATAGGCCAAAAGGCAGTGTCTCAGGTATATTGGAAACCTAAAGACTCATACTTTTGGGCCGGCCTAATGGCGGCAAAGAAATATCTCTTTCGCTTTGGGTCTTTCGCGATAAAGGACGGGTCCAAAATTCGTTTTTGGGAAGACATCTGGCTAGGCAATGCTAGTCTCCGAGAACAATACACAGCCTTATACAGCATTGCACGCGATAAGAATAATACTATTGCGCAAGTGCTCAGCTCATCCCCACCAAATATTTCATTCAGACAGGATTTGATTGGCACCTGACTTATGTCATGGAATAATCTCTTGTCCCGTCTGGATTCGATTAACCTGACACAAGGTCGTGATGTGTTTCATTGGAACCTTACTACATCGGGGTCTTTCACAGTAGAATCTATGTATCGTGCACTCACGCATTCTGAGGTACCGGTGAGTAATAACAAAAAAATGGAAAGCGAAGGTACCACTTAAAGTCAAAATATTTATATGGTATCTTTGTAAGGGAGTTGTGCTAACAAAAGACAAGCTCGCACAATGCAACTGGCCGGGAAGTAAGAAGTGTTGTTTTGGTACTCATGACGAGACAATTAAACACCTCTTTTTTCACTATAAGTTTGCGCGTTCTATGTTGTGAGTCATCCAAATAGCGTCAAATTTATATCCGCCCACAAGTGTTGCCAATATTTTTTGTCATTGGCTGGACGGTATTACAAATAGGTACAAAACGCTAATAAGGGTGGGAGCGTATGCCTTACTATGGTTGCTTTGGCTTTATGAAATGATGTTTTTTAATGACAAAAATGCTTCTCCTTTGCAGCTTATTTTCCGTTGTACGCACTCGCTTTGTACGTGGTGTATGCTACAACAAGCGGAGTACCAACCGTTGTTTAAGGCGGTATGTACGCTGTTGGAGCAGGTGGCTATGGAGGTTTTTACCCAACATGGGTGGCAGCATAATCTCCGAATCGGTCCACCATCTCTTTCTACATAGGCATAGTGTCGGTCTATGAACTCTACTGTTGCCGAATTGTCGATCTGTTATGTTTTAGTTTATCAGACTACTGGTGTTTGGCTGTGTGCATCCTAGTTATGCAGAGGCCGGGTGATACTCTTAATGATTTGTATCACTTTGATGCTACATTTTGAGATAATAAAAGTGCCCTTTATCAAAAAATGTCATGAAGAAACAAGCTTTCGGTGCAAACATGCTACTCCCTCAGTTCCATAACGTAGTACATATAGATTTCCTGAAAAGCCAAAGTTAAACAAACTTTGACCAAGTTTATAGAAAATCTATTTAGATCTACAATACCAAATATATACAATATGAACGTACGTATTGTGATGTATCTAAGGACATGTATTTGATATTCCATATGTATATTCACGAGGTAGAGAGGAACTAGGATTGGGGGACGCCGTCCACTAAGGCGACATGGCAATCGGCCTGAGCCACGTATGCAAAACCGGCTACAGAAACCATTCAAATGATCGTCTGGTGGTGCAAAACTATAGGTAGCGCCTGGCAAAGAGGGAATTCAGAGAAGAGAGAGGGAGAGAGAGATTCAGAGATGAAACACATAGAAAAACAGGGGAAGCTCAGCTTGAACAGTGAAAGTGTCCAATTTCTTCAGTAATCCTCAGACAGAGCTTCAGGGATGGAGATGGCTTGCTTAGTTGCTTCAGATTAATCCTCAGACACTAGGACTAACGACTCCGACTGTAGTACAAGATAACGAAATCATCCTCCATCCCTAGGACTGACTGACTATCACTATCTTCTAGGTGCTGTTGTAATCTTGTGATTTGATTTGGGATCATTCCCCCGTCAATCCATCCATCTGGTTCGCGGTGACCCCTCGTCTTTCCATCTTATGATCTATGATCTAAACTCTAGACAAAGCAAAAGAGGGGAAGCAAGGCTACATCACAAACTGCAAACAAAATCCTTCTTCCAAATACAATGTGGCAGCCATTTTAAGACAAGGATCTCGAGTCGAAGCCACTCAAATTCAGTTAATATAATGTGTAATGTTTCACCATTCAAGCATGTTTTTCATTATTTGCCCATTCTACTATGTATGTCCCACTTCGAAATTTCAAGTCTAGCTTTGTTTGACGCAAAGAAAAATAATAATTAATTATTTCATGCGACTAAGAATTACTGTTATTACTGTAGAAAATAGCAACAGCGTTACTACTTATTATATATATGTGATCTGACACAAAATATAGATACATCATAAGAATTAAGGAAGGCGGCTTAGCTTACATGCATCAACCAATCGAGCACTCGCAGATTAGACTCAGATCACACATCCAGCATGCATCTTCAGCTCTGGTTTCCTACCCCCTTCTTGTATACGAGAAACAGATTTGGACTAGCTTCTTCAGACATGTCTCCAAACCAGGCCTGGTTTCAATCAAAGGCCAGTTGCTCTTTCCTTGGCCTCCCACGCCCTCTCTTCATCACCACCGACACAATATCACCTGCCGATGATGGCTTCTCAAGTGCTCCCTTGGTTCCAGTTGACACGACATAACCTGATATTGGATTCTCAAGCGCCCCCTTCATCCCAGTTGACACAGCATCTACAGCTTCAGTTTGAGCCAACATTGCTGCTGCTGCTGCTGCTGGCTTGTCTTTTCTTGGCCTCCCACGCCCTCTCTTGATCCCTGCAGACCGAGCATCCCCAGCTTCAGCAGGCATTGGTGCCGTTGGCTTGTCCACTTGCGGCTGCACGCCCTCTATCTTGATTCCGGACGACGCAGCATCTACAGTTTCAGGAGCAGGTGTTGCATCTCCAGTTTCTGCTGATGGTCTGTAGATTCTTGGCCTCTTGATTTCTGACGGCATAGCATCAACAGACCACCTTGCTGCTGGTGGCAGCTTCTCTATTATTATTGGCCTCCGATTCCTGGGAGGCCCTCCGTGTGTCTCCAGATGAGATGTAGGAGCTAGCATTGGTCTCCCACATCCTACCTTGAACCCCCTTGATGCCGGTGGAGTTGGAAGAGGCATTGTTGCTTCCTGTGATTGTTGCTCCTCCTCCTTTCTCGGCCTCCCACGCCCTCTCTTGATCTTGATGATGCCACCAGTTGACGACGCAGTTGGAGTTGGAGGATGCTGTGCTGCTGCTGCTTGTGATTGTTGCTCCTCCTTTCTTGGCCTCCCAGGCCCTCTCTTGATCTTGGCGATGCCACCGGTTGACGACGCAGTTGGAGTTGGAGGATGCTGTGCTGCTGCTGCTGCTGCCTGTGATTGTTGCTCCTCCTTTCTTGGCCTCCCAGGCCCTCTCTTGATCTTGGCGATGCCACTGGTTGATGACGCAGTTGGAGTTGGAGGATGCTTTGCTGCTGCTGCTTGTGATTGTTGGTCCTCCTTTGTCGGCCTCCCAGGCCCTCTCTTGATACGACCACCACCACCACCACCACCAGTTGAGGGGGACGGCCCAACTCGCTGTAGCTTCCTTGGTCTCCCACGGCCTCGCTTTGGTTTCCCAGACAGCAGCACAGACCCTAAACCAGCACCAGAATGCTCTGTTGGCTCTCCCTTTGCAGGAGCAGGACAGGGTTCTCCAGGCGTTGCAGCAGCAGCCTTGCGAGGACGGCCGGCAGCATTCGCCGGGGAACTATTCCGCGGTCGCCCCCGGCCCCGCTTCTCTCCCAGCACAGGCACAGGCACAGGCAGAGGCAGAGGCAGATGCAGATGCAGCAGAGGAGTGTAGGCATCATCATCGTCGTCGTCGTCGTCACTGCTACTGTGGAGGTGGAAGTGGAACCCAGAACCAGATTGATCATCCGAATCGAGATCGGGACTGTTACTCTCGGGTGGCTGGTGGTGGGAAGAGAACAAGTAGGAGAATCCGGAGGTGCAGAGGACGCCCTCGGCGACGAGGCGGCGGAGGTGGGCGGAGAGGAGCGCGTCGTGGCTGACGGGGAGCCCGGTGAAGCGTGCGGCGATGAATCCGGCGATGGCGGAGCGGGCGGAGGCGCCTCCCAGCTGGGCGAGCGCGTAAGTAATCATCTGCAAGAAAAGCAAGATCCATCTTATCCATGAGCGGGGAGGGGAGCGAGATTGGAGGACAAAGGAAGGAAAGGTGGGAGGGAGCTTGCGTTGGTGTAGGTCGGGTGGGGCCGCCCGGGTGCGGCGGCGGGCGCCGCCGACGCCATTGTCCGTCCGTCCTCTGCTTCTGCTTCTGCTTCTGCTTCCTTCCCTTGGAGTCCTCCGCCTCCTCCTGCTCCTCCTCCTATAGGGTTTTTTTTTTTGAGGGAAGGGGTGCTCTTCCTCCTCCTATAGGCTATAGGTAGGTATAGGAAAAGGGAGCGTGGGTGGTGGGATTCATTCATTCATGGACCTGGACTACTGATTTTTTGGGTTAAATAATAGGAAGGAAGGAAGCTTTGCAATTGCTGGGCCGGATGGATGGATGGATGGGACCACCATTTACTACTTTCTCTCTCATCTCCTATTTTCTCTTTTGTCTCAAAAAAATTCTCCTATTTTCTCTCTCTACAAAAACCTCTCCATCTACTTCGCCGGCCCGAGGAATTTTATTCGTGGACCAGCCAACTTCGCGAGTGGGTGAGCGCGCCTCCCTCCTACTTCGCCTCCACGCCGGAAAAGGAGGCGGCGGCTCCCTGCTACTTCACCGCAATGCCGCCGTCGCCGCAGCAGACGTCGGAGGAAGCTGCCCCGGCGGCCTATCAAGGCGGTTTCGAATAGGCTGGGTCACCTCCCGTCTTCATCGGCCTCACCGACGGCGGCGACAGCTGTCTACTAGGGCGGTGCGTAGACATTTATTAGAGTTTTTAAAATTTTAGTTATGTTTAAGTGGATTTTGATCGGCGTTTGACCGACCATTTATGTATAAATTATGTTTAATTTAGTCAATGTCGGTGCACGTCGCCAAAGTAGTTTAATCTGATGTATTAAAGGGTGGCGACCCCTTTCTCTGAGTAATACCCTGTATCTGATTTAGTGGTTGATCTGATCTAATAAAAGGTGGCGACCCCTCTCTCTCAGTGAGTTACAAAATCAATCTCTATCTGAGGTTCCTCGCTCGCTCCCTTGTCTTGGGCTTGTCTTGAGGAGAGGAAACCTATATCTAATCTCTTGTCTTGGGATCTAATCGCTAGAGATAAATTTCAGAAAAAGACATTATTGAATAGGCAATCAAGCATGAATAGTTGTATGTCACGTGCCAATACATACAATATTTCTCTTTCAATTAATCACACTAGTCAAGGATATGATGGAAAGAAGACATTGGCATATAGATGATGGAGTTAATTGTGTGCTTTGTCCCACTCACACCAGGGAAGATAGGGATCATCTTTTCTTTAACTATAATTCTAGTCAGAGGTTTGGAATTTTCTCCAGATTGATTGGGAGGCTGGGAATGACATGGGCCAGATTGTGCTCAATGCTAAGAGAAAAATTTGCACAACCTTTCTTTGCTGAAGTGGTTTTCACTGCTTGCTGGAATATCTGGATCATCAGAAATGAAAAAGTTTTTAGACATGAAAGGCCCAATTTTAATAGGTGGAGAGGGGCTTTTGTGAATGATATGCTTTTACTTTCTCACAGAATCAAGGTAAGGTTCAAGGAAGACCTGGTTAGATGGGTCTCCTTGTGAGGTACTTGGATCTAGCTTACATAGTCATGGCGAGAATTGGGGATTCGATCTAGAATTTGAATTCGCTGGCGTGTTCCTCCCAACCACCCACACGTCTGTTTCAGATACACATCGGCCGTAGCCGCCTAGTCCATCGCCAAAACGAAAAGGAAAACTACTAACGGCTATAAGTACTATGACACCGGAATCAACGGGCCCAGTTTGGGCTTGCAAGCCACTGGGGTGTCTTCTTGGGCCGACTGGACTTGGGCCTCGTCTCGGGCGCTGTAGCTGTCTTGCTGTTGTCGACACCAGATGTAGCCGATGCAGTTCCTCCTTCGTCAGCAGTCACCTGGGTCAACAGTGGTTCGCTGACATTCCCCCTCCGTTGAGAAACGGCTTGACCCCAAGCCGCAGCTCGAGGAAATTGTTGCCGTGGAGACTCCAGATCCTCCCACGTAGCTTCGTCCGGAGAAGAGCCACTCCACAATATCAGACCCTGCGTCACTGTTTTCTGGCCAACCTGACGCACTCTAGACTGAAGAACTTGTACTGGCACCTGCAGATCAGAAAACTGGGACGGAAGATTAGGAACAACCGCTGTACCAGGAGAGATCACCTTTTTGAGTTGTGAGACATGGAAAACTGGATGTATTTTGCTAGTAGCAGGCAATTCCAGCTTGTATGCCACTTCACCAATCTTGTCAAGAATTTTGTATGGACCAAAGTATTTGAAAGAGAGTTTATGATTTGCTCGGCGAACAACTGATGACTGGACATACGGTTGGAGCTTGAGAAAGACCAGTTCACCAACATCAAAAACACGTTCAGTCATGTGTTTATCAACTTGAGCCTTCATTCTCTGATGCGCCCGGTGCAGATGTTGAGTGACAGAATCCAACACAGTCTGTCTTTCTAATAGCCACTGTTGAATATCAGGGGAAGCTACAGTCACTAGTAGAAAACAGGGCTTTGGTCCAGGCCGGGTCAGCCCATTAGTCCCGGTTCAGTCCAGAACCGGTACCAATGTGGGCATTGGTCCCGGTTCGTGAGCCCAGGGGGCCGGCCGGGCCACGTGGGCCATTGGTCCCGGTTCATCTGGACCTTTTGGTCCCGGTTGGTGGGATGAACCGGGACCAATGGGCCTCGCTCCTGGCCCACCACCGTTGGTCCCGGTTGGTGGCTTGAACCGGGACCAAAGGCTCCCCTTTAGTCCCGGCTCATGTCACCAACCAGGACCAATGATGTGCCTATATATATCCCTCGCTCGCGAGCAGAGCACCCCAGTGCTCTGTTTTTCTCTGGCCAAGGGGGAGAGGGCTTGATGGTGCTCTAGCTCACCTCCTATGCACACAAGGTGTTCGATGGAATGCCCGAGCCGCACTACTTAAGCTTTCTCCTCTCCAAGCTCGACCTCCAAGATCCATTTTCCATAATATTTGTCTAGGTTTAGCGGTCTGTCACGCCCCGTACCCGTCTTCACCGCCGTCGATCACCCGCGCCGAGCTCATCGCCGGCACCACGGTGGTGAGTCTCTTGTTCTTATCTTCTTTCTGAAAGGAAAAATATTCTTACTTGTATGTTTACATAGATACTTGTATTATTTTCTTACTTTTATTATTGCATCTTATATAGTGCGATGGTTTTGGTATCCGCCCCCGTCGGCCCTCGTCCTGTCTATGATTCGGATGTGGTATATATATTATCTTTATAACTATTGGTTCATTTATTGTTTATGAAAATTATGCCGACCAACGTGACATAGATTTTATTTATGTAGGATGTATGTGAATCGGAAATGCCAACCGACCCTATTGTCGAGAGGTTAAATTTAGTTGAAGAAGAAAACAATTTGTTGAAGGAAAAAATAAAAAAATTGAGGAGGAGAAGATGATATTGGAGTTGCATGTTGCGGATGTCGTCGATGATCACAAGATCAAGATGGATGCAATGCCCTTGAAGATTAGAAAGATTAGAAAATATGCCATTCATACCGAGGCTTGGTATCATTATGCCGTTGGATCGATTGTTACCTTGGTTGCGATTATGATCGCATTTGTTTTCGCATTGAAATGTTTTACATAGTTTCAATGTATGGTTTAATTAATTAGATGCTCTGGAGAGCTATATGTTGTTAGATGAGAACTATGTATGCACTTTGGTTTTAATGTGATGATGAACTTCTGTTAATTTGGACACTTAATTATATATAATGCACGCAGATGAACCGGCAATGGATGTACGGTGACAGACACACCCGCGAGTACATTAAGGGCATGCATGAGTTTCTCGATGCGGCTGAGGCAAACAAGCAGAATGGTTTTATGTGTTGTCCATGCACTGAATGTGGGAATACGAGGTCTTACTCTAACCGGAAAATCCTTCACTCCCACCTGCTTTACAAGGGTTTCATGCCACACTATAATGTTTGGACGAGGCACGGAGAAATAGGGGTTATGATGGAAGACGGCGAAGAAGAAGAGTACGATGACAACTATGTGCCCCCTGAATACGGTGATGCTGCAACGGGGGGAGCTGGTGAAGATCAAGAGGAACCAGACGATGTGCCCAATGATGCTGCAACGGGTGAAGCTGCTGAAGATCAAGAGGAACTAGACGATGTGCCCGATGATGATGATCTCCGCCGGGTCATTGTCGATGCAAGGACGCAATGCGAAAGTCAAAAAGAGAAGCTGAAGTTCGATCGCATGTTAGAGGATCACAAAAAAGGGTTATACCCCAATTGCGAAGATGGCAACACAAAGCTCGGTACCGTACTGGAATTGCTGCAGTGGAAGGCAGAGAATGCTGTGGCTGACAAAGGATTTGAGAAGCTACTGAAAATATTGAAGAAGAAGCTTCCAAAGGATAACGAATTGCCCGACAGTACATACGCAGCAAAGAAGGTCGTATGCCCTCTAGGATTGGAGGTGGAGAAGATACATGCATGCCCTAATGACTGCATCCACTACCGCAGTGCATACAAGGATCTGAACGCATGCCCGGTATGCGGTGCATTGCGGTATAAGATCAGACGAGATGACCCTGGTGATGTTGACGGCGAGCCCCCCGGGAAGAGGGTTCCTGCGAAGGTGATGTGGTATGCTCCTATAATACCACGGTTGAAACGTCTGTTCAGAAACGAAGAGCATGCCAAGTTGATGCGTTGGCACAGTGAGAACCGAAAGAAAGATGGGAAGTTGAGAGCACCCGCTGACGGGTCGCAGTGGAGAAAAATCGAGAGAAAGTACTGGGATGAGTTTGCAAAGGACCCAAGGAATGTATGTTTTGCTTTAAGCGTGGATGGCATTAATCCTTTCGGGGAGCAGAGCAGCAATCACAGCACCTGGCCCATGACTCTATGTATGTATAACCTTCCTCCTTGGATGTGCATGAAGTGGAAGTTCATTATGATGCCAGTTCTCATCCAAGGCCCTAAGAAACCCGGCAACGAAATTGATGTGTACCTAAGGCCATTAGTTGAAGAACTTTTACAGTTGTGGAATGGAAACGGTGTACGTATGTGGGATGAGCACAGACAGGAGGAATTTAACC